TAGACGGCCAAAACGATTCACGAACCTTCCGCTGCGTTTGGTTCCTCAACCTTGACAGAGTCATCTTGTCATCTGCTGGGCAGCTCACAAACCCGGATCACGTTTCGTACTCTCTCATAAAATCGAGGAGTCTGAGTCTTCGCTGACTGCTCATTAGTGCCATCGTTTTCAGATCCTCGCGTAAAGTTAAACATAGGCAGCGAAGGGGTAAGGATATGACTGTTAAAACTCCCTGGAAGTTAATTGCCTGTGCCGTTTTCTGCTAATCACTCCACAAGTAATTGAAACTGTTGACTAAAAGAGGTCTGAAACGTTTTTGTCTCTAGGGAGCCTGTTGGAAGATTCTCAGTATTCCATTAGTTTGTAGTATCATTAAGTTTTTTTAATTATTGTTGTATGTCCTGTATCAGTAAGACCCAAAAGTGCTTTCATGGGTGGAATGTATGTAACCTGTCCCCCCCGTTTTTTTTCACATTTCTTTTTTTATTTACTTTCAGTAGCAAGAACTCTGAGAGACACTTGGAGCATTAGAAATGAGAGGCCACTGATAGGTGGGGATCACTTTAGTTATGAACACCAATATCGGTTGTTAATGCCACAGTAATTCCACACAAAGCTTAATGCCAAGTCAGGAACAAGCCAGTAAAGTTACTAGTGGTACAGTGATTGCCTATTTAGCCGCTTTTGTCCTATGCATGTCCAGATGAGAGTTTTAAAATCCTTAAATACCCAACAGTAGCATGATTTTAATTAAATGGTATGAATCTCCCAAACACAAAGCAGCAGTAGTATAACTATGAGTCCTCATGCCAATCTGCAAAGAGAACACATGCCGACTTGGTGTCCTGGTTTCAGCTGGGATGTAGTTAACTGTCTTCCTAGTAGCTGGTACAGTGCTATGTTTTGAGTTCAGTATGTGAAGAATGTTGATAACACTGATGTTTTCAGTTGTTGCTCAGTAGTGTTTAGACTAGAGTCAAGGATTTTTCAGCTTCTCATGCCCAGCCAGGGCACCTGACCCAAACTGGCCAACAGTGTATTCCATACCATGTGACGTCCCATCTAGTTTAGGAACTGG